TGATCGCACAGGCATTCCTGACAAAAAGCTTGTGTTTGTGTGTACGGAAATGTATAATGAATAATGATGTACTATCCACCCTCCTTGGTAAATTGACATATATCCAGCTGCAGGCCCGCAGAACCACACACGTTTTAGGCACACAATCTAAGACACACGATTTAGGCAAACCATATATGGTAACTAGCTAGCTAACTCTTTAGCATTATCGCCACCTATTGAAGTATGGTTTCCCATTTCAGTCATTATTATTATTATCATATCATAACGATCATTTTAACATCTCTGCAATTTCTGAACTCAAATTATGTAAATAAAAATAATTGGTTAAAGACACTTATGACTTTATTCACGTGTCCACATAAACAAAGAAAACACTATAGACCGTCTAATTGTTGGATTAAGTGTAATAAACTAATTCAAGCTCTTAATATTATCATACTTGGTTAAAATCACTTTGTTGTAAAATATAAAAAACAAACAATAATGTCACTTTAAAATAAATTAGCCTACTAGTTAATAATTTAAACAATATAGTTATAAACTGATTATCTTAACTGATTATAATTATAAGTTTATATATAAACTACTATCTTTTACTAAACTGTCACAGCTGTTATATATATATATGTATATACATGTTCTTAATAATGAAGGGTATAAGATTACGTGATTTACAGTTAAACAGATTAATAAATAATCCAAAAACTGACCCTAGAACCTTAAAAAGGTTGGTTTCTAAAAAAAGGAAAAAATTAAGTAATTTTCTCACCTTTGTATTGTTTTAAAACCATATAACCTAAAGTATATTTTGAATACCAGAAATGTAGAATTAGATCTTTTTTATATAAATTTATCACTCATGCTCATCCATATGGTAACAAATAAGCAACCATTAAGCTAGAAAAAAAATATAGTAAATGAAAAAATAAAAACAGCCATTGACGACCATAATATTTTTGTACTTTTGGTTATGGATGTCAGTGGCTGCTGTAGTTTCCAGCATTCTTCATAATGTCTTGTTTTATGTTAAAAAAAATATATAAAAATTGATAACCACTTGAGTGTGAGTAATGATGAGGAAATGTTCATTTTTGGGGTGTCTATAAGTCAATTTATAAGTAAAATTATCAGTTTGTGCCAGAAATAACATTAATAATATTATTACCTTTAATTCTCAAATGTAACTATAGTCAGCGTCAAAACACTAGCATAATAACATTAAAGTTATAATTATTTGTTCTCCGGGGAGGGTCAAATGTTTGGATTCAAAATGTGATTTTGTTCAATTGTGCAATGCAGACAGTCACAGATATGTTGATTTTACTTAATTTTTCAACTCAGGAAGCCAATCAGAGGTTGTCATCTTTGTTTCTAAAGTGTTTTATACAATGCAGCCTATGTAGTTTTGGCACAAACGGAAAAGTATACTTTTCTAGTTAAGTCAAACTGTTTTATTTGAGACCAGTGTAGTGGAAAGTTGCACTGGATCTTAACAAACATCTTATAAGTTTAAAAGAAAACAAGCAAAAGAAGCTGAGGCCTTCGAAGTTCCCAAGTTGAAGCGGTTTATTGTTAAAGCAGTAATGGTTGATCAATCTCTCTCACAACCAATGTTCAAAATCCCACAGTTTATATACAGTTTCTTATCCATAGCTATCATGAGATATGATGTAACATCATGCCATTGCTCACAATCATGTGTTTGCATATGATCATGTTGTTTCCATACTTTTTTAACTATTCTCCTTATGTGCTATTTTAGTGTGGGCTGTTTTTGTCTTGGTCAATACATACATTTGCCAAAATGTATTGCATATGCTATGTCTGCAGGTTCTTACTTAGGCGCATGACATGCTGTTTTAATAAGGCTTTTATAATTCTTCTAAACCAGCTGAAGTATGTTTATTAAGCCTGCAAGATATCTATTTTGTAATTATAATATTCTGCGGCCATAAAATCATAAATTTACCTTTTATTTTAAATGACATTTTCTGAATTAGGCCTTAACAACATAAGTTATTGTTTAAAAGGGCAAATGCCTAAATTAACACTCCCAAGTTGACAATTGATGAAGACTAATTGAAACATTTACCACATAAGTTAAAATTCTAGGTTTGCAACCAAAATTTCCAACAAGAAGCACAAAATAGCAATGCATGTTATTCATTCATTTATTTTTAGCCTGAATAAGATATAATTTATGCAACAAATATTACAGAAATTAAACTTTTACTGTTAACAAAAAACACAGCAAAACCTTTATGACACTGTAGTATAACTGCCAGCAAATTAATAGCAAAAATAAAGATATGACATGAATACATTTATATGACACTGCAATGGAGGAAACAAGCATTTGATAAAGAAAAACGAAACAAACATATTTTTAAAAATCAATGTAAATATAAAAACATGACTCAATGGTGACTTTTTGACTTTTTTCTTACTCGCATAATCATTCTTCTTAAATTAATTATTAGTGTTTAATGTATTTTAATTAATGTCAATTGTTTAATGAATTGTAATTTTAAATAATTGTCATTTTCATGAGAGGATATCCAAGGCTGCAGTATTGAAATAAGATTCGGTAACATAATCAATGATGTACACCAGGTTTTTTTGTCCATGGTTGTGTGCTTCCATTTATCTTTTGTGTGCATGTATGGCTAATGAGTGTATTCGTTGACCATAGGTGTGTTGTATACAGCTGGTTTGAGTTTCTATCAAGGTAATTCCACTATGTTTAGGAGAGTAAGGTAATTTGCACAGGTAAAGGTAAGCTTAGTTTAAACTAACTCCAAGTTTTTGGCTTGTTGTTTTCTATCAGGTTTCGTAGCTATTTAGTTTGCACTGCTAAACTGCCCAAGAGCATGTTTTATTCTGGTTGGAGAAGAAAAATAAATAAATAAATAAAAACTGGACCAATCAGCTGTGAGTTTAAAAATTGCATCAAAATAATTTAAATAATATTTTTTTGTAATAATAATTTACTTATATTAAACTAATTATAATTATTTATACATTATAATTGATCCTCAAGTAATTTTGAATTGTCAATCAACATTAGTAATGGCTTTACATTTTCATATATAAATATTTACATGATTTTGCTTTAACACAATTTTGAAAATAATAATTGACTAAGGATTTTAAAATATAAAAAAAAAGTTTTCTGAGCTGTTTGTAAACCTGCATTATTAAAATCAGTTGATTGAATATTTGCACACAAATATTTGATTTAAGTTGCCCTCTCAAACTTTTGTTTATTTCTTCCTTCTAAATAGATTTAAATACATTGTTCCTAACAACTTTTTACTTTCGATTTTCTTCAGAAAGAGAAATGACTCTAAGGGACCAATTAACCTGGGAGGTATTTTAGAAAGCAGGTTGTGTAACCTTTTAAGATAGATTCAAGGATATTGAATGGAAAGGATCAGCTTTCGGTTCGTAAAGCAGAGGTAATTATTATGGTATACAATTTTCTACAGCAACTTTTGCTCTGAACATAACCTGCTCAGGTTAATCAGCCAAGAATTTCAGGATTAATGTGAAAGTTTTGTCTAGAGAACTGTGGTGCCTGGTAAACTTTAATCTTGACATTGAGCATACTTTAAAGGGGACATACAGTGGGTACAGAAAGTATCCAGACCACCTTAAATTAAAAAAAAATATTTTGCAGCCATTGGCTAAAATCATTTAAATTAATTTATTTCCTCAATACACACAGTATCCCATATTGACAGAAAAACACAGAATTGGTAACATTTTTGCAGATTTATTAAAAAAGAAAAACTGAAATATCACATGGTCCTAAGTATTCAGACCCTTTGCTCAGTATTTAGAAGAAGCCCCCTATTGATCAAAAACAGCCATGAGTCTTTTTGAGAATGATGCAATAAGTCTTTCACACCTGGATTTAGGGATTCTATTCCTTCGTTATTTTAGCTGTGCTTAGGGTCATTGTCTTGTTGGAAGGTAGATCTTTGGCCCAGTCGGAGGTCCTGAGCACTCTGGCAAAGGTTTTCGTCCAGGACATCCCTAAACTTGGCCGTGTTTATCTTTCCCTCAATTGCAACCAGTCATCCTGTCCCTGCAGCTGAATAACACCCCCACAGAATTATGCTGCCACCACCTTGCTTTATTGTTGGGACTATATTGGACAGGTGATGAGCTGTGTATGGTCTTCTACACACAAGCTGCTTAAAATTAAGGCCAAAATGTTCTACCTTGGTATCATCAGACCAGAAAATCTTATTTCTTACCATCTAGGAGTCTTTTAGTGTGTCTTGCACTAAGGAGAGGCTTCTGTCAGGCCACTCTGCCATAAAGCCTGACTGTTGGGGGGTTGCAGTGATAGTGATTTTCTACAACATTCTCCCATCTCTCAACTGCATCTCTGGAACCGCATTGATCTTTGAGTTCTTCTTTACCTCTCTCACCAAGGTTCTTCTCCCCAATAGCTCAGTTTGGTCGGATGGCCAGCTCTGGGAAGGGTTCTGGTCATCCTAAACATCTTCCATTCTATTCCAACATCTTCCAACCTTACGTGTAGCAGAATGTTTTTGTAACCTTAGTACCAACGCTTCCTATTCACTTTTAATGGGTGATGTTGCTCACTGCAGAAGTTGGGACTCTCTCAACTTTTCAAATGCCAATGGAAGCGTCAACTAATCAGATCGATAAATGCAAATACACCAGCTCAGACTGTAGCTAATTGCGGACTAATTTCATTGGCTGGTGCTGCTACGACAATCGCATCAGCCCCAACTTCAGGCACGCCCTCTGTCAAGCGTTGACGCTGAAGCCCCATGTGAATCGGACGTAATGTCTTGTATAGTCAGGTGTGTGGGTTTTCTAATGTCCAATCAGTATAATCAAACTAGATTAAAATGAAGGTGTAGAACCATCTCAAGGAAGATCAAAAGAAATGGACAGCACCTGAGTTAAACATATGATTGTCACAGCAAAGGGTCTACTTAGGACGATGTAATATTAGTTTTTTTTTTTTTTTTTTATAAATCTGCAAAAACGTTAACAAGACGTCAATCAAATTGTTTCTGCAGACTGTTATTTTGGAGTGCGATTACGAAAAAATTACATTAATAATTATTTTACTATTAGAAGCTGGTTACATTCACAGACTGTGGCTTCTCAACTGTTTAAACACTTACAAAAGTAACTTTTGCATAATAAGTCCCCTAATAATAAGTAAATAATAAGTTTGACTAATTTGGATGTACAAATTCTATATAGCTATGGTAAAGTGATATATTATGCAGCCTCAATATTTCAACGCAACCCAAGTTTGCAAATGCAAAATATGTGCAATTATGTGATCCAATTATTGAGAGTGCAAGAAAAAAAGTAATTAACAGATACCTCTCCTACAAAATGACATCAAATGTAACACACGCTAAAAATCAAACTCACATACTGTGAGGTGCAGAGTAAGTGCCAGAAGAGCTATTTGGAAAGTCAAAATCTTCAGAGCTTTAACGGAGGAGTTTGTTGCTTTCTGAGTTTCTGTATCCTTGATTGTTGGTTTTGAAATTGGTTCTGTGGGCTTTTCTAGAAGAAATAAAATGCATAAAAGCAATGTTATAAATTCATGATTGTTGTAGAGATAAGATGCTAGCAGTATCCCAATGTTCTGTGCAAAATATTCTACAATTTATTAAAAAAGGATTACATGTACCTTTGACAAGAAGCTCTACCAGCTTTTCCACATTTAATTCAGGAAAAAAACAAGTGTAGCGTCCTGCATGATCAAACTCCACATCTTTCAACATAACTGAGTAGTTTCCTTTTGCATACTCTGAAGGGAAACTTTCGGCTCGATTTTTGAAGATGTCAAACTGTTCTTCTATTGAAGGTTTTCCATCAATAACATTTAACACTTTCCAGCTTACATTGTGTCTCCAAAGCACATCAGTAATTCCCGGTTGAATCTGGCATGGCAGGATGATGGTGTCTCCAACAAAACTAGTGATATTTGCTGAGGCCTGCAAAGACACTGAGAAAAAAAAACAACAACTTTACCTTAGGAAGCAAACAAACTGAACTGAACATATAATACATCATACCAAATACATTAAATATGTTTTGTAAATACAAACCTTTTCCTATCAGATGCAGAAGTAAAAAAATGGCGCAGCATCTGCACAAATAACCAAAAGCAAAGTTAATATAGCTTTTTGATGTATAAAGTTGATCAAACTATGGTATTCATTCTTATCCATAATTTATTCATTGATTCATTAATTCATTTTCCATTGGCTTAGTCTCTTATTTATCAGGGTTAGAGTTAGAATGGACAGCGGAACTGACCGCCAACGATGCCCTGCCAGCCGCAACCCAGTAGGACAGGGGAAATCCATGAATTAAATATTTTTTAAAATTCCATACATAACATTTAAGATTTCAGAAGAATGGATCAATAATAACACACACAAACAATATTAGAAATATCTGCACCTTTGGTTTAAAAAAAAATGCCTTCATTCATTATCATGCAGGGTTTAAAATTAAAACTTGCCAACAAACCAAATGTTGAAAATCAATACATTTTTTGGCAAACACATCAACTCACTAGTCAGCATTTAAAAATTTCATTCACAGAATTCATTATTGAATTTGCTGTAAAAATTCTTTCTACACCCTTTAAATACACCACTTCAAAACAATTACAAAAATGTAAGTACTCCAGATGACACTGAGAAATCTAATTTTCAAAGATTATAATGTGTTATTGTGCTTAAAGGCTTGTTTAAACCTCTGTGTCGAGCGATTACCGTGACCCATGCATGCCTTTTGCATAGCCGTTTTTTATTTATATTTCTGCGTGCTGTTTGTGGTGCTCTGCAATAACACTTACGTAATGCCAGCTGGCAGTAGCTTTTTAACAAAGTTTCCAATTGGACCCCCTTCACAGGACTCAACACTTGTAAACACTTGCTCCAACAGGTTGTACTACCAAGCCGACAACAAAAAAGCGTACAATGTAAACCAATGCAAAACACAACAGAAAAAGCAGATCATTTTATAATAACCTCTTTTAAAAATTAATTTCGTTATTAATCTTTCTTCAGCTTAGTGCCTTATTTGTCAGAAGTCACCACAGCAGAATGAGCCGCCAACTCTTTTGGAATATTTAACACAGCGGATGCCCTATCAGCTGCAATCCTGTACTGGGAATAGGGCTGTGCGACTAATCAAAATCAAAACGCAATCGTGTTTTAAAACGTTGTGATTAGCTTATCGCAGGAGGCTGCGATATGAAATATATATAATTTAACTTTCCCCACCCAGAACAAATGCATGCATTGATACACTAATTAATATCAAAGAAAAACAGCATGTCGTCGGAAATATGGGAATATCTTGGTTTCAAAGTCACAGACACCAAACAAAACCAGGTAGTTTGTAAGAGCAGTCACAGAATTGTTGCCACAGCACGAGGAAATACAACAACCAGCACCTAAAAAAGCACAACATGCAGCTATTTGAGAAGTAACTTGCTAAAAATCCACTTAAAGTATTTCCAGTGACACTCAATCTAGTAGCAATGAAAGTACAACTTCAGAGTTGTTTGCTAATATAAGTTGATACTTTTAAGTTCTTTTTTTTTAACTAACACTGCAGTTTACCAGTAAGAAGCTACATTACAGATTATTGAGCTGAAGCTTGACTACAAAATTAAAATGCAGATCAAATCAAAATTGCAATATCTATCAAAAAAGTTGCAATTAGATATTTTTCCCAAATCGCACAGCCATAACTGGGAAACACCCATACACTCTCACAATCACATATGAACACACACCCAATTTCCCTTCAGTGCATGTCTTCTGACTGGGGGAAACTGGAGGACCCATAGGAAACCCACACTAACACAGGGAGAACAAATCCCACACAGAAATGACAACTGACCAAACCAAGACACGAACCAGCAACCTTCTTACTGTGAGGCGACAGTGCTAACCACTGAGCCACCCTGCCACCTTCCTATTGAAAATATTGTAACAAAATAAAATGTACTATGTAGATGCCTTTATGAAAGCTGAGGACTTGAAAGTAGCTTTACATAACATTTCCTCCAGTGTTGAAGTGAAACTAGAAAAGCCTAACAGATGCAGACGGAGCCAGTGAGTAATGAACGAGTTTATCCATAAGTGACTGGGTTTCAATGAGCTGCCACAAGAACAGTTCCATATATGATTTTCTTCTTTATTTCAAGTGTGAGCACTTACAGTATTTTTCTGATGAGTTTATACATGTATACTCATGCAATGCTAACTTTTAAGCTAGCTAACTGTGAGCCAACAACTGGAGTCAACGGTGTCAACTAACAAAGCCTGATAGTGATAACTGCCTATCAGGAAATCGGTCCACCTCCAGCTATGCTCTGCCCACAAAAAAACACCACAAACTTAAAGAGCCCATATTATGGGTTTTTGAAAATTCCCCTCCATGTAGTGTGTAACACAGCTCTAAGTGAAGTGAAGTATCCAGCTAAGGCTTAAATCTGTAAGAATACAGTGTTTAAAACGGTTGATTCATCTATAAAAGAGTCGACTCATAGTGCTTCAAACGAGTCGCCTTGATACCTATTCATTAGGTGTTTCGCCATGACGTACGAACGAAACCAAGTTATTCACGTGCACGCGCAAACCCGGGAGATTTCAAACCTGAGGCCCCGCCCTCTGACGCAGAAACCCAGACACACACACACACACACACCCACAAACACACGCACACAAACATGCCGGTCGATTGAAGTCACACTGCAGATGGACATTATCGATTCTCTACCCATAGATGAAACCTCAGCATTATAACCAAGCAGTTGGAAACTTCTGGAAACTACAGGCTACAAAGAATACTTCATCTGCGTTTGTTAAAGTAAGGATCAGTAAAGAGTAACTTACTAATGGACGTCAGGATGAGTTTCTTCCTCCATTTCTCAAATGTAAGTACAGGCGATTAAAGTTGTTGCCTCGTTGACTCTAGCTTGCAAATGTATTTAGTTGTGATTTGTTACTTGTAACCGAGTGTACTGTATCAGGTTAACTGGCTATATTCTCTTATCGCGTGCAAAGTCACGTTAAAAACGCGACGCGTGCTGTTTGTTTACGGAGCTCCGTGGTAGAGGTCTGCATTCCCCCGGTTGTCCCCGCGCCAGATTTCTGCGGCGCGGGAATAAATTTCCGAATCAATCGCGGGAGCGGTCGGTAACAGGTTTAATTTGGGACGGGAGCAGGCTGTCTAGCAATATCGTGGATATTGCTATGCGAATGAGACAGAGCTTTGCCTGCCTGTGTGTCTGCTTGGCGCTTGTGTGTATGTGTTAGTGCGCGCGTATGAGAGAGAGAGAGAGAGAGAGAGAGAGAGAGAGAGAGAGAGAGAGAGAGAGAGCTCTGTCTGGCTGTCTCTGGACTGTTTTGCTGGGTGATTTTCGGTTATGTTCTCCCCCGCTCTTTAGCGGGATCGGGCGCGGCGGGCAGAAAACAGGGCGGTTCGGGCACCGGGACAAGAAATTCTAAATATAAGCGGGAGCGGTCGGGTTCAGGCTAAAACCTGGCGGGTGCGGGCGGAAGCGGGAGCGTTGTCGTCCAGAGGTGTGTGTGTGTTTGTGTGTGTGTGTGGCAGCTAAAATCCACGCCTACACTATGGAGCGCGTATGAACTGTGATTACTTTTATATTGCTGATTAGCTATTGGGCATTTCATTCTCTGACTGAAGGCAGTCGACCAATCGTGACAGACTGTCATCGGTCCAATCAGCGCAGATTAGCTTCGCGCTAAGGAGGGGTTTGGGAACAAATGAATCACTGGACGATTCATACAGGAGTCGCTGGGATAATTAGGTAAAAATAAATGCAGATTATAAGACCATGAAAGTGTTTTTTGACTTTGCATGCATATTAGACTGTTGTTGGAGACCCTTACAACCAAGATATGACCCTATTTCATGTATAATATGGGCTCTTTAAAAAGGATACTATAAAAGGTACTATAAAAACATCCTGTTATTTTTAAAACTCAAATTTCCCATTTTGTTCCACAGTACAAGCAAAAGAAGACTTTCAGGAGCAAATATCAATGCCTACCTCTAAATAACTGCCTGTCTATCCATACCAACCTGTTCATGAAGGAGAAAGTAAATAGTAAACAGATGACATATTAAAGTGATGTCACCAAAAATAAACAAAAATGTATTTTTTAACCTACTCTTTTAATAGTCATTCTGTTGTTGTTGTTTTATTTACTTATAATAATGCTAATAAATGAACAAATATCTAATACAATCAAAATGTGGGGAAATACTAAAATAACCGTACAGCACCAGAAAATAAGACTGCTACCATTATTCCCACCCACTAACAAAAAGAAATGACTGTCAGTGGTTTTACTGTTAGATGAATGATTGTGGGGAAAAAACAACTCAAGCTTCAAACAGCCTCAAACCACATATGCAAAAGAAAAAAATACCAGAAGCATTTACATTTCCCAAAATAGAGGTTGAGAATAAAAAATGGTGCTAAGGCCGTACTCACACTATGTACAGTTGCCTTGAACTGGGCCAAAGTTCCATTCGGGCCTGGGCATAATTTGAAAATTAACAATTGATTGATTTTTGACAGAAAAATTTCTTCTTAATAAGAGTCTAATACAAGCTTCATGCTTTTAGCCATTTGGAATTGCAATAGAACGTTCAAAGTGCACGCTAAGTCTAAATAGTTGACTTTACGCAAAAATGTGAAAATTTGCTGCTTTAAAACACTTTAAGTTTGTACACAACGTGGAACTAATCAGCCCTTGTCGAATTAACACAGAACTGCATTGAACCTTAAGTTAAATTTTAATTAAACTAGGGCTGTTTAGTTTCACCTTGTGTAGTTTAAAGGCCAGGACACACCTAAATGACATTTGGCAGCTTTGGTGAGTGTCTGTAAGGGTAGTTTATTTATAGTTTGTTCTACACATTACCACTCACTGAGCTGACAACTAATGGAGTTTGCCTGATTCAGCATGAAAAACCAGCGCCGGCCGTTGGTGGAAAAGCATGAGAACGAAAAATAGTTATATAACAACTAGGAGTGTCACGATTTCGATTTTTAATCGAAATCGATCGAAATTTATACTCAGTTTCGATTAT